GACTCCCATGTAGTCTACCATGGTCCGAGTCCCAGGCCCAGTGACTTAAACTCACGCCAGGCTTGTGTGCGTGCATGCCCAAGATCCTGAGAGGAGAATGGAGGAGAAGGGATTGCAGTGTGGCCATCCCCCCCGGGGGGGGGATGGTTTCTCGCTTTCTGTCTCTCTATCTCTCTCTCTGTTTTTCTGGTGAGCGCAAGCACCCTATAGCATAAACCTCTCCTCCCAAAAAAATAAGAAGAAAGAAAGAAGAAAAAAGAAATCCCAAACAAGCATTCTAGCTGGAGATAGAAGTCTCCAAGTCCAGGAGGCCTGCAATCAAGTTGAAAAGATTGTTGGTGATGTTCTGTTGCAGCTTATAAAAGGAGGAAATGACCAGAATGGCAGAGCTAGAGAGAAAATGACTTTACTTTCAAGTGCTACAATGTCTCTTGGCCTCCCTCTTCTGCCAGCAGCAGCAAAGGAGAGTAGTGGGGTCCTGGGGTCTTCTCCTTGCCTGAAGGCTAGGCTTGGCCTCAGGGTGGTGATGGTATAGGGAACAAACCCATCACAGAAAATGAGCAGCCTCCAGCTATTCTACAGAAACAGACTGGACAATGAGCTGTCAGACTCCCCAGAGAAGAAAAACACTGGGGCACAACTCCTGAAGACCTGGAATAGGTGCTAATCCATATTGCAGTGGAGAAAAGCAACCAGAGTGAAGCGGGGAGGTGTTAGATACCAGGTGTCCTCAGTAAGAAGATCCAACCTTCCCAATCAGGTCTCTCCTTACCTTCTCCCACTCAGGAAACGTTTACTGAGCACTCATCATGTGCACATGCCACGAATATGTGTACAGTCTAGTGACAGAGAAAGACAAGAAATCAATACTGGCAATATGATGTAGGATAGAGGTCTGCACAGATCACAGATGGCATGTGGAGGATGGAGGGGTGCCCTCAGGAAATAGTTCATGAAGGCCTTGCTGTTGAACCCAACCCAAACTCTACTTCGGGCTGCACAGCACTTACTGAGCAAGTCAACTGAAAAGATACGGTGAAGCGGGAGGGGAGATGTATCCAAGGTGGGAGGAGGGAGCCTGGCTCTGATGTACCAACGTGAGTGTAGGCCTTTGTCCCCACCCACCTGGTGGGACTGTGCATGGTCTGGGGGTAGGAGGTGACACTGCTATCTGGTCCCTCTACTCACTCCTTGGATGGGGACTTCTTTACCTTCTTCACCCTACACTTGTACAGTTCTCCTCTGGGCCAAGATACAGAACCTCACGAGCAGCATAACTACTAGCATGCTTATCTCCTGACTCAGAGTCCTAACCAAGAGCTATTGCAGGGAGAGGTCCTCCCAGTTCCTCTACATGTGGAGACTGAAGCCACGTGGGAGCTAGTGATGACAGCTCCAGTCTACAGGCACCCGAAGGGGCACCTGCCCTGCAGGCCATTGACCATAAAGTTTCCATCAGTTTCCCAAGAATATATTGTCTCCCTGAGTTACATTGTCTTTCCTGCCTCACCCTCAAAAGGCCATTCCACATGTGCAATGGAGGCTCTTTGAACCCTTGGTAGCTTCCCTATCAGTGTCTCTCCCCAGCAGCAATAACTGCAGTTGATTCTTGCTGAGGCCTCAGGCACAGTGCTAGGCATGGAGGGGAAATTGCAAAGTCAGATAAACTTAAAACCAGAATTTAGTCAGAAGAGACCATAGATACACTGGGGGAAAAACCTGGGCAATGTTTTTGGAACTAGATATGGAGGAGACGGGAGGACATACAGAGCTTCACCTTTCTAGCCAACTTGAAAACAAAGAGCCAGACTGAGGGACAGACAACAGGAGGCTTCCAGCAGAGCCACTCTGATGTGTCTCCTACCCCCTCCAGACCCTCCAAACAAACCAGCATCCAACCAGTCCACAGAGCATCTTTCTGGATGATGGTGAATGAAGTAGAGGAGAAGAAAGAATTAATAAAGTTATTATTGTTATTATTATTGTTACTTAGGGTAGGTAGTCTTTCTTTCCTGTGTTGGTTGTGTGTAGATTGAGTCTATATTTCTGGAGCAGAGAGGATATATCCAACAGGACTAATGTTCACTTCTAGCTTTAGGTCCTCTTCCTTACCCTCCTTTACCCCATGTGTGAGATGCTGTCCTATTCTCCAGCAGTCAGAGTCCTACACTGCCTTCTGAAACAGTTCTGGTTCATTCATTTAAGATGCTCCAGCACCAGCAGGTAACAGCTACAGGCCTATCACAAGATGGCTGTGCTCTTCTGTCCAGTTCATCTCCAGCCACCATCTCCCCTCACACTCCTAATGACTCTAAATCCTTGCCATGTCTCTTTCCTCATGCCCCTTCTAACCACCCTCCTACCTTTCTTCATCTTTGCAGATGCAGCTCAGTTGTCACCTCCTCTGTGAACCCTCCCCTCAAACTCACCAACAAAACTTGATGGTTCTTTTTGGGGAAGGAATTCATAGCATTTTCTTTACTGGCGTATTTGTGTTTGTTCCTGTGGATGTGGATCCAGGGTGAAGTTCCTATAGGTAAATGTCATCTCTCATGGAGTTGAGATTGGGGGATGAGGAAGGGAATGAACAAAATACAGGAAGGAACAGAGAAAAGCAGAGGGAAGGGAAAGGGATGCAGGATCTAATACACAGGTGTGTGTGTGTGTGTGTGTGTGTGTGTGTGTGTGTGTGTGTCATCTTGGCCAGCAACTCTCCACTTCTTTCTCTACACTACTAATTGAGAAATGAAAGAGTTCAGGTTAAGCTAAGTTGCATCCAGTTGGCGGGAAGCCATGAGCTCTGGCATTAGGGGGAGGAATCTCCATGCTTAAGAATGCTATCGCATAGAAAAATCTTTCTGCTCTTTTCCTGGGGATATATTTTATGGGTTTCCCCTTCCCCAGTGGAGCTTCTTCCAGGAAAGCTGCAAATAGTCCAGAAAAATGTTAGGCCCACCACAACTGGGGAAGGCAACATGGAGCATTTACTGTAAGGAGCCCTCAAAGGGGATTTGTAGACCTGGTCGATTAGAATCTTAATGCTGCACTGACTGTGTGAACTCCAGATAAAAATTCACCTTTCAAAACCTCTGGTTTTCAGCCTATTTGGTGAAAGGTTTAGATGAGCTGATTTCTAAGAGATTCTGAGTAGATAGGATTTGGCTTTGTAGCCTGTGGGACTAAGATGTTCCATAGATTGGGCTCATTTTATTACTTCATTTTTATTTACTATTTGGCATGTGCACTCATGGGGGGGGGTGCGGGAGTCACATGTGGGAGAACACCTCCCATGGCAGATGGTCATGCCACAGTCCCTTGTCCTCCTCTTCTCCTTTCAAGATTTTGGGCACGCACACACATGCTTCCATTGTGCTTTTCAAGTCGCCGGGTCTAGGAATTGAACCACACAGTGCGCCATGTGAGAGGTATAGTTGGTTATATGGGATCCAGCTACCTTAATCCCCAGGCCATAGGCTGGCCCAGATTATGCTCTTTTGTTCTCCTCCATCCCTTGCAAAATGAAGAAATCTACTTTTGCTGCAATCCAGGGAATTTCCCTTCTGAGAAGGAATGGAAGGCAGGCTAGGATTCTTGGGCAAATGCACAATATTTGAGAAGACATCCATTTCCCTGGCCCTTCAGGTGTGCCCTTTGGAGAGAAGAAAGTAGGAAAGAAAAGGTGAGAGGGAAAGAAGGAACAAGGGGAGGAGCAAAGTTGAGCAAAGGGAGGGTAAAATAATCGATCGTTAATAGACCAACCTCTATATCTCTGGCTCCTTCCACAATTCCTTTTGTCTCTTCCTAACGTCCTCTCACACAGCCTCTCACACAGCGTAATCTTTTCCCCTCCCCTAGGAAGGGAAGGAAGCAGGTCACAAAACCCCTTGGATTATAAAAGCCCTCACTTCTCCCAAAGGAAACAGCGAACTCACTCTGTACCTAATGCCATGATAAGCCACCGGCTAGGCCTCTGACCTTCTGGCTCCTCTGTACAGTTCTGCCTGGATGGGCGGCCGATCTCTGCTGGATTGCCAAGTGTGTTGCAGAGATAGGAACCCAGGTCACAATAAAAAGCTCAAAATGACATTGACTCCCACTGCCTACACACACACAAACACACACACACACACACACACACACACACACACAACCACAGCCTCCTCTGAGATAAGACTGAGATAAGACAGAGCATTCCCCTGCCCCTTTCTCAAGGTGTTTGGGAGGCCACGGCCTTCAACTACTAGGCTCTGATAACTTGCAGTCTTTCCATTCCTGGGATGTTGGAGACCTTACCTCCATTTCTGGTGTTTACTAGACAACGAGAGAGTAAGGCATCACCTACAGAGAGGCTTTGCCACTCCCGACCCCCCAAGGGTGTGGGTTCTGAGAGGTGGAGCCAGCAACAAGGCCCTCTCTTCATTGGTTGGGCCCAGCAGGTAACCTGAAGCTCTGCTGAGAGGTGCATAAATAAAGACTGAAACTAGTACCACCTCCTTGAAATGGGCTGAGTCCCTCTTTCTTACCCTTGCCTTGGAAAAACCAGTTTCTCTTCCTTTCATTGTCTGTTACCAACCTCTGTTCTAAATATTAGACTAAATCTCTAACCACACTCCAAACTCTCTCCTTCCAGGGACCTATAATCCCCTCTCCTCCCCAGCGCTACTTTCCTTTGCTTTCATATTCTTTTCTACTAAAGGCAGAAATCAGCTATGCAGGACCAACCCCTACCTTTCCTCAGGAATTGGCTCTGTTCTGCACAGGCCTG